CCTCCCCCAAATGAAAACAATAGAAGTCAATTCAAAATTTCCTTCATCTGACAGCTTCAACAATTGCCTAAAAATAAGTGGGCCCTTCATTGTACAGTTAGCAAATAAGCCCAGTTAACCTGCGTTAAATACAAATTCCTTGGAGGTAAGGAAGGACACAGCCCTTGCTAGCTTGAGGTCAGTTTTTCATAGATTGCATTCTGACCCATGAGCACTTACTATACCTGATTACATTTTCTCAAATATACCCTAGGGCAATCCTGCTCAACCAATACCTTACTTTCTAAAAAAGTAAGTTAATTGTCATTGTGCTGAAAACACATGCAGCTTTTTGCCTTATAGAGAGAGATTATTATTCCAGACAGAAATTCACTTACCCAGTATCATTAAACCCTTTGTACTCCCCCTTCAGCTCCAAACTTCTGGCTCTCACAATCTTATTAGAACTTGGCTGGCACCTACCAACTATGTATCCAGGTTGGGTTTGCCTCTACAGGGTGGGGATGGGACAGCTGGGAATGTTAACTGCAGTGGTGAGGATTTGCCGTATTTGTGGGAGAAAGAGAAGAATAAAGCAGAAGAAATGATGGTCAGTGCCCTAGGAATGTTTTCCAAGCTTTGCACCAGACTGTTTATCTGATCATAAAGGAGGTGGAAAAGATGAGGCCCTGAGAATTTCCTGGCAGCCACTCCCATGACTGAGTAGAGAGAAGCATTGTTTGAGCCCTTCATCCTCCTATTCTGTAGTCTTAAAGTATTACATCCTTTAGAAAGAGGAAGGAGACTGTGATCAGACATGGCAGCATCAATTTGAATTCTCCAAACACTTCATCCCATATATTTAGACCACGTATATATGCATGCATGCATGTGTGTGTATGTGTTTACTGAATACTCAAAGTTCTGTGATGAAAAACCTGTGGTTGGTGTCCTTAGGAGGTGTGTTTTGTTCAATTCTCATTTACATGTTCCTAGTTCCTAACTGCTTATTGTGCCTGGCATACAGTACATTCTTAACAACATTGCACAAAATAAGTAAAGTAAACCAAGGGTCATAGCTATTACTAAACCACTGTGTAACTTTGTTTAAACCATTTGGTCTGAAGGCGTGAGAACAATACCCTGCTCACAGGGCTACTTTGAGAACAAAATGAGATCATTAATGTGAAATGAGCCTATGTTGTATACTTTGAAGCTTTATAGATAAGTGTGTATGTGATTAAGGCTTTTCTCCATGTGGCTTTTCAAATGTCCCCAGGTAGTAATAGGTTGAAGGAGGAAAATCAGATTCAGGTTATTTCTCACTGACATTCTTCCATTTAACTGTACCATTCCTTTTCATTTTCCCCCCTGATTTTTACAATTTAGCATTTGGTATTTTTTTCTACCTTTTTTATTTGGATGTTCTGTGGAACATTTTCATTCCATTAATAATTAGCTTCTAATAATTAGCTTCTAATAAGATAATTATTAGTAGAATTATAAGCTAATAAGCTAATTATTAATTGCTAATAATTAGAAAAATAAAATATTTTGCTCATTATTTTATATAAAGATGAATCCAAAATACCTTCCCCAACTAATCTGATACCTTTAAAAACTTTTAAAACTGAATTTTCCCTCCCCTTCTGGTCACTAATTTCATGTGTAGGTATTTGTTTCACTGTGGTATTTTTTTCTTACTCTTGCATTGTTTCTCTTCAATTTCAGAGATTCTTTTTTTTTCATTTTTCTTTTATTATTCATATGTGCATACAAGGCTTGGTTCATTTCTCCCCCCTGTCCCCACCCCCTCCCTTACCACCCACCCCTCCCCCTCCCCCCCAATACCCAGCAGAAACTATTTTGCCCTTATTTCTAATTTTGTTGTAGAGAGAGTATAAGCAATAATAGGAAGGAACAGGGTTTTTGCTGGTTGATATAAGGATAGCTATACAGGGCATTGACTCACATTGATTTCCTGTGCATGGGTGTCACCTTCTAGGTTAATTCTTTTTGATCTAACCTTTTCTCTAGTACCTGTTCCCCTTTTCCTATTGGCCTCAGTTGCTTTAAGGTATCTGCTTTAGTTTCTCTGTGTTAAGGGCAACAAATGCTAGCTAGTTTTTTAGGTGTCTTACCTATCCTCACCCCTTCCTTGTGTGCTCTCGCTTTTATCATGTGCTCATAGTCCAATCCCCTTGTTGTGTTTGCCCTTGATCTAATGTCCACATATGAGGGAGAACATACGATTTTTGGTCTTTTGGGCCAGGCTAACCTCACTCAGAATGATGTTCTCCAATTCCATCCATTTACCAGCGAATGATAACATTTCGTTCTTCTTCATGGCTGCATAAAATTCCATTGTGTATAGATACCACATTTTCTTGATCCATTCGTCAGTGGTGGGGCATTTTGGCTGTTTCCATAACTTGGCTATTGTGAATAGTGCTGCAATAAACATGGATGTGCAGGTGCCTCTGGAGTAACAGTCTTTTGGGTATATCCCCAAGAGAATTTCAGAGATTCTTATTTGACACTGTAAGACAAATTTCTAGTCACTCTATCATTAAATATTTAGGCTTAGCTTAATATTGTTAAGTTATTCATCACTGCTTCTCTTTTTTATTATACAATATGTTTTTCATTATATTACTGTTAATACGGGGGTAATTGTGACATTTACAGAAGTTCTTACAATATATCATAGTTGCTTCTCTTTTCTGTATTTTGGACTTGTTTTTTCCTTGGGGTTAGATGGCTAGGTAACATATTCCCTTCCAATATGGTGCATGGATACCATTTTTTTCTGAAACATCTTTCTTTTGCTCTGAAAAGCAGGATAGTAGGATTGCTAATGGTCTTTGGAGATGGACTGCCTGAGTTTAAAATTGTGTGACATTGGAAAAATTAATTTATTCATGGTTCAGTTTTCTTACCTATAAAAAGGAAACTGTAAATGTTTAGAATCGTTGAGAAGTTCAAACAAGTGTGCGTGTGAATGTGGGTGTGTGTGTTTACACAGAGAGAGAACACTTAGCTTGGCAGGTAGAGAGCTTGTACTAGGATTTACTCCTTAACAAAAACTTACTCAATTTCTTTCAACAAATCTGTAACCAATTCTTTCTTAATCATAGTTTCTACTATTTTATGTTTTATTATTTTCTTTTATTCTTCCTTTTGACTCTTTTCTTAATAATATTGGTAGAATCTAACTTTTTTCATATTTTTATCATGCACTTTGAAAAATGTTTTCAACTTTATGTCCCAACCTACCAATCTGAAGCTCAATGTATCTATCTAATTAATCCTCTTAAAGTTTTCAAATGAAAAAGTAATATTTTCAGTCCTACAATTGGATAATCTTTAATGTACCAAATTTTCCCCTCAGTTTCCACCTGCCCTACCTTCTGTGATAGCTGCATCTTCACCTCATTTCTCTGGGGGACCCAAAGAGAGTGTGCTGTTTTTATTTCTTAGACACAGCAGGGTCTACTTAAGTGTGATGCTACATCTCTTTGCTCCCTCCCTACCCACCTATTAGCATTGTTTAAGAAGCTGAAATTTCTGGAGGCATCTGGAAGGCCTTATGGCTTGAGGACCTCTAATACCCTCTCCAGGGAGTTACCAGGCCCTTGTCAAGACATCAAGGGGAAATCTTTCTGCCTCTGGTATCCCTAGTTTCCAGCTTCATTAAGCAGGAAGGACTCAGCCTGCCTTTTGTACCTGGAATGATGCTAAGACACACTTGGTCTAATAAGCCCTGACTCTCCCTCCAAGTTCTTTGGATCTCTAGAGTACATGAAGCTGTGATCCTCACCTAGGGTTCTTAGTTGATGATCCTAGATGAAATTCAGATACAGAGGGAAAGTTGTGCCAGTTTTGTGAATATAATGTATAGAATTATTTACAAGTATGAGATATACTTCAATCATCAGTTTTCAGTTGAAGACCTGAGAAAATGGAAAGTAGTCTTTACTGAGTCTTTCTCATTCTTCAATTACTCATAAGTCCAATACATTGCCTACTATCAAATGCTTGCTAGTGCTTGTCTAATTAAAGTGAAGACAACTTCAGATGACTGTTCAGTGGTTTCCCATTGCCCTCAGGAAAAATTCCAATTCTTACTTTTGCTTACAGGGCCATAAATGACTTGGCTGCTCCACTAACTTTAAATTACCCCTTTTTCCCTTGTTTCTATTTGCTAGCCTCATCAGATTTAACTCAATGTATTGAACATACCACGTTCTTGTCTATCTCCAGCACTTAACATTTGCTGTTTGCTCTTCCTGGAAACTCTACTCCCAGGAGTTTCCCTTACCTATAATCAGCATTTCCCCTGCCCTGCTCACCTCAACCTCATGCTGTCATGGCAGTCCTAAGAAGCTTTTTCTCATTGTTTTGCATCTCAGACAACTCAGAGAAAAAAAAAGACCCTTAATTTTTTGTTCCTGTGTTACATAGTATCCCAAACTTCTCCTTCATAACATGCATGGATATTTTAAATTGATTATTTTACTATATACTTTCCAGATTGTTTCCCAGGAGCACTGCCATATTTAACTTTATAAGTATGGGTGTCTGAAAGATGCAGCACTGTAGCACTTGATAGATGCTTAAATATTTGTTGGTAAAATAATGAATGAAGTAAGGAGAGATAAAAGGGGAAGGGAAAACAAAGGTATAATTTTTTTCTGTCAAAGAAAATGAAAATAGATCCACTCAAATTTACCTAAATGTTTTAATCCTCATTGTAAGGTGAAATGCTAGTTGTTAAATGCATAGATTTTAAGACTAGATGGGTTTGAAAGCTAGTTCTGCTATTTTAGTTGTGGACAAGTCACACTGCTTTTATAGTTTTCATTTTCTTCATTGGTAAAGTGGAAACAATAATATTTATACTTGCTTATTACCCTATGAGATTTTTGATGAAGACTTGCCATGAAAACATAAGAACTTACCTCAATACCTGGCATCCACAGAGTTCTCAAAAATATCAACTGTTATGATCAATAATTTACCTGAGTATCAAAATGAAAAGAAGGACAGCCATTCTTCAACTGAAGTGCAAAATACTCTTCTGACTGCCAGGAGCTACTGCAAAGACGATTAAACCTTCAGGAACCATCGTTTGGAAGCTGGCCTTAATGCCTGGAAGAGACAAGCACAATCAACTAGTCAGTGTTAGGATTTTGTCGATTCTTCCTAATGAATGTACATTTGCTTTCACTATTATTTGTGATGTAGTGAATACAGTCAGGAAATTACATGTAGCAATGTACTGGGTTGGTCCCAGCCATTTGAGTTTAAGTATAATCCATTTTAAATGTCAACCAGCACTTGGAAACTTAAGCTACACTCCTGCTAATCAATATATAATGAAGCTTAAATGTATACAAAAATCATCAACCTTTTTAAAAAGATACATTGTCAACCCCAAATTGATACTCAGAATATCAATGTGAAAACATTATCAGAGTCATAAAAATAAAGGGATTTTTGACATAGTCAAGGAAGCAAAGGGAACCTTGTTTAAATACTGATGAAGTTGAAAGAATCAGTCTCATAATAAATACTAAAAGTGAAAGGACTTGCCATGACAGCTCACCAGGAATAATTTCCTGAAACCAAATGGTTAGTCCAAATTTCAAGATCTCCATGGACCCACTATACCACACAGTAGCACTATAGAGGACATAAAAGGTATGTGTCACACAGAAATTTCCATTTCAGGAAGCTGAAGCAACTTGCAATGTTCCTATAAATGCCTTTTCACTAGTATTACATAGCACCATTTCCAACCCACTGGGTAACCCACTTACTCAACACAGAGTATGGAGACCTTCCTGTGCATAAGGCATTTGACTTAATGTATTGAAACTGGCAACAAAGTCTAGATGGCACAATCTCTGTTCTCAAAGAATTTTCTGCTTCATTGGAAATATAAAATTAACTGACAAATTGTACTGTGAGAATCAATTAAGAGATCCAGAACATACATGGATCAAAAAAAATCAGGAATACAATGTTGAATAAATAATGAACTTAAATTTGAATAGTAATGCACTCAGCCAGGATTTTAAACAACTGAACTCCCCTCAGTGGGTTGGTAACAGAAAGACCGATATAGGTGGGGATTGAGCAACTACTTCAGGAGCCATGTTTTCTCCACCCCCACTGCATAACACAAAGTTTAAGTGTATTTAATATTTTGAGACTCTAGATGAAGAGAAAGGAGGTAGATGAAAGGCACACTAGAGGAAAGGGAAATGTTTTAGAATCAATCTGGATGTAGGAATGCAGAAGTCATGGAGTAAGATTTAGATTTTTTAAATAAGCATCTATGGAACATTAACAGCTGTTGTGTATTCTAGTACACAGTAAAAAAGGAACATTAACAAGCAGGGCCTGACATTATGTTATAGTGTACACAAAAGGCAATTGTAAAAAAAAAACTGTAATGAGATGTGGCAAGTGATAGGAGAGACATAGTTTTATTTTATTCATATGTGCATACAATGTTTGGGTCATTTCTCCCCCCTTCCCCCTGCTTCCTCCCTTCCCACCCTGTCCCCTTGCTACCAAGCAGAAACTATTTTGCCCTTATCTCTGATTTTGTTGCAGAGAGAGTATAAGCAATAATAGGAAGGACCAAGGGTTTTTGCTAGTTGAGATAAGGATAGCTATATAGGGAGTTGACTCGCATTGATTTCCTGTGCATGTGTGTTACCTTCTAAGCTAATTCTTCTAGAACTAACCTTGTCTCTAGTTCCTGGTACCCTTCTCCTATTGGCCGCTGTCGATTTAAAGTATCTGCTTTAGTTTCAGGAGAGACATAATTTGAGATATAATTTGATCCAAAGGGATGAAGGAAGGCTTACAGAGAAAATGACAAGCTTAGGATATGGGCTACAAATGTTCCAAAGAGGCAACTCAAGATTTCCTGACCTTCCTGTCTCTACATCTACATCTCCTGGGTTTTAAAGCTTCTGGCTCTTTCAGCACACTTGTCATCATCATTTTCGTATCTCCTTGCCTCACACTCTCTGATTTTCTTACTTGCACCTGCTTGGATATGATGTTCTTGCTGTTAGAGTACTGGTCCTTCCTGGCCCCTCTTTCATTCCACAAAAGAGAGTTTGTCCCAACAAATCACTAGTCAACCTCATTTGAACTCCCATGCTAGCCTCATTGGTCCCATCTCCTCTAACTAGTGGACTGACAAAGGCTCAGCCATTGATATGAATTTAATTTTATAGGTAAGAAAAAAAATTGTTAAAAATTGAGTGGAGGGCAGGAATAGGATGCTCAAAGTCAGGATTTTATGACAGCCAAACTAATGGTGGAATGTATGGAAATGTAAATAACTTATCTGCAGAGAAAAAAGTTAGGAGATTGCTGTGTTTGGCGAAAAAACGATGATTTTAACTACAGATGGACAAATAACTAAATAAACTGAAAGAATGGACACTGAATTTCAGAAGAGACTCATTAAAATATGTGAGGTGACAGTGTGGGGCCATGCTTCCACCACTCACTGAAAGAAAACATTATCAAGGGAAAGAAATGTCAAAAAGGAGATGTTTAATTTTGGCATTATGCATATATTAATGATATGGAACACTGTTTGGAAACAAGAAACTGAATCTCTGAAGAGAAGATGAGATAAGGAAAACAGACAAGCAACTGGCATGTCTTGAAGAGAGAATGCAGAGAAAGGAAAAGAACGTTGTGGGGAAATGCCCACATTTAGGAAAAAGAAAATGTGAAAGGAATGGTACAATGAGAATAGTCAGTATTATATTATGAAACAGAAGAGAACATTAAGAAGGCAAGGTTAGTTAACTGTGTAAACACTTCCCATACAACAAGAATAATTAAGAAAAGTTCATGGAGCTGGTAATGACAGTCTTTTTCAGTTGACTAGAATGGCTACAGTCCAAACTGCTGGGTGATAAAGACTGAAGGAAGGGACCAGAGCAAGTGGTAAGGAGCACTCATTAGGAAAATCTGATAGAAAAAGGAAATAGAAGACAGTTATCTTTTTTGTCATATTTTTTAATTTTATATTTGGTATCATATACTGTAATTAAAATGAATGGTTTCAAATTAAACAGCTCAAGGTTATTTCATTAAAATAGCTATAATTTGGGACAAAAAGGCAGCAAAACTCTTTACTAGTGTGTTGGAAGTCATCTCAGTAGCAGTAAAAGCAAGGATTTGAGTAAGGGAAATATCAACAATTGCTCAATTGGAGAATACATTGACTCATCTTTAACTCAGGGGATATCTGGTTAATGAAAATAAATCAGAGGAAGAATTACAGGAGTATTTATCCAGGTTGCACTTGGGAATAATTCAACTATTATATGCTATTCAAGTAATATGCAAATACATTTGTTTTCAAAAACACAACATTTAATTTCCAAGTCCTATATAACAAAGAAATGCACTTTTAGCCCAAATAATATATAAAGCTGTATACAGATCATTGAAAGTTTGTTTGAGAAGGGAAGATTTAGCCTAGGAGAGGGAAATTTGACTTGATATTGTCAGATGGACTTTTTCAGCTTTTTCCAATAGTTCAATCTCCCATTTTTCCTTTCACTTAACCAAGATGAATAACAAATGATTTTCCTTTGCATGAGCTCTGTGGGGAAATTGAAAATGCACATAGCTATTGAAACTTGCTCTTGACAATTAGTTAATTATTGCTATAGACATAGAAAAAGCCTATCTTAAGCCGAATGATTATATCATGTAATCCTTTAAATGCAGTAATTCACAAATGAATTTACTTAAAAACATAACAATCTTTTGATTAATGCATAAAATACTTTAACAAAAATGTTACTGAATTTGCCATGAGGCAGAATGATAAAATTATAAGTATTTCAAATTATTAACACCCTCTTTTCCCATAAGAAGGTTATATATGTATACATTCCCATCTACTGATTTAGGATCAGCTGTGTGACCTGTGTTAGCTAAAAGAATGAAAACAGATATGCTGGACCCCAGGAGAGCAAGAGGTTTGAATATGGCTGAGTTTAACTTTCTCTGATATCTCTTCTGCCTCACAAATGTTTTCATTGTCAGGCCCTGAGTTCAAACCCCATTACCATCAAATAAAAAAAAGAAAAAGAAAAAGAAAAGAAAAGGACAAATGTGTTTTCATCTCGAGCCCAAGAATAAGAAGACTTGTGGACCACAGCCAGTTTTTTGCTTTAAATATTTACGTGAAGCAACAACAAGGACTAAAATGAGTAGAAAAGAAAAAAAATACACATTTCCCACTTACCGATATTTATATTTTGTCTTTTTTTTAAAAGTTAAACAGAGATGATATATTCTGAAGTTCAGGGTTTTGTTTCCAGAGTTTAAAGAAATAGCAGAGCCTCTCTTGTATCTCTATATATCTTCACTCATTCAAGAAATATTTAAGGAACCATAGTTCATACAGCCACTATTCTAGGCTAGTGGGATACATAGATGTATAAAATAGACATACATCCACGGCCTAACAGTCTGAACATCCAAGTTCTGCAGGGAATTATTTAACTTTCATGTAAATGAGTTTGAAACTTTAAGATTTTTATTTATAAAAACAATATACATGCAAGGCTACAAATAGACAAAAGTTGCTTTATTTTGTTGTGGTGTTGTTCTGTTTGCCGCGCCAGGGATTGAACCCAAGACCTTGCCCATGCTTGAAAACCCGCTACACCGAGCTACATCTCCACCAGCAAAGAGCAAATATAGAGGCAAAATTATATTATAAGTGAAAGATCTAATATTACAATACCAACTTTTGTCTAATGAAAGGGACAAGTAAGAGAGTAGAAAGACAGCTAACTAAATTGCAGAAGATATTTGCAATATTATTTTTGGTAATAACATAGTCAGAATAAACAAGAAAAAGCTGGTTAAGATTGTTAGTGATCAAGAAATGAAAAATCAAATGCAGTATCACTAAGCATATATATATATATATATAACATGTAATGATGTATAATATAGAATATTAACTAAATAATAAAATAATGATTATATTAAAAGATATACATGTAACTTTCACAAGCATCTAGCATAGAGTGAATTATTATAATGAGTTCAAAAAACTAGGAAGCAGTATTTACTAAGTTATTCAC